AACAGAATGTATAGGAGTTATTAGAATTGCATGTCAATTAAACTGAATAATCTTGGTTTATGTCCAGGGCCTCCTCATGCATGGATTGAGTTCACTCATCCCCTGCTTGAGCAGGGAGTTGAATTGAACTCAGACCTCTAAGGTCCCTTCCAATATAACAATCTTCTTACAAAGAGTGCTATTTTCCTTCCAGAAAGCAATAATGGTGGGAAAACAAGCTATGATTCCACTGAGCCTTACATATGAAAGAGTCCTTTGAATAGTGGATATTTAAGGCTTGTGGACAGGAAAACCCATCTCGGAAGATCTCTACGCATAGGCAGTGGCCCACACAAGGCTTCAGGCATACCATGAAGTCTTGGTGGGCTGGAAAACCAAATCTGCAGAAACTTGAGTTACCCCAAAATATATTTACTACCTTGACAAGTTCTGCTGATTTTGACAGAAATGCAGAAATGAACACACGTGATACGTGAAGGCAGAACCAAGTCCTAATCTGTCGCAAGAGAAGCCCCAAGAAATTGGGAAGAGGTGGAATTTCAGTTTCTGTCCTTCTCGACAGAAGACATCTAGGGCTCCTTCAGTTCCAAAGGCAGATTTGGTTTAGCTGGTCTGATGTGGATCTGGAAGAAGGTAGGTTCTCCTGTTGAGAAGGGGGCTGGACTAGAAGACCTTCAAGATCCCTTCCAGCTCCTATCCTATCATCTTCCTATCTTGTTTTCTTTTCTATTTTCTATTCTCTTCTATTCACAAGTTTTTCAAGAGATCATACACGGTTCAGAATCCTTCCGTAGATCTTTTCCCACTGGAAGCTGCTTCCTGAATAACAATATCTTCATGGCAGTAGCCATAGATTCTCTGACCATCAGATGTTCCCCGGGAGTTTCAAGTCAGTCCGCTAACCCAGATCCTGCATTTGATACACCTGAAGACCACAGCAACTGATTAAGAAAAGCCCGATATCCAAAATGAAACAACTGTCCCCAAATCCTCCCTTTCACACTGGACGCCCTCAGCCAGTGAACCCAGCTGCACCCTCCGGGGCCCCCTCCTTGGTCCTGAAAGGGCTGCTCTGCCCACGTGCTGAATCTGTCTTTGTAGCAAGTAAACGTCCTCCTGCCGGGTGAGCTTCCTGGGCTGGTGGGACAGGCCTTCATGGACCCTTTCAGGGTTCCCCACTCACATTCAAGGCAACTCCACTTTCTGTGGCATACAAGATCTATACCGGCTGTGCTTCTTTTTGACATTGAGAGAAGCAGTGACGGAAACGGTGTGCCCTTCAAAGCCCATCTTCATGTTCTCTCCAGTGTGCCAGTACTGCCCACAAGTTATTCTCTGGGACAGTTCCCAAATGAGTTCAGGTCTTTTCTGCAGGCGTCCCACCAAAAGCAGCACAAGCCCAGGCCTTTTCCATTAGTGCTTCTCTGAGTCACATTGTTCTGACCCAGGCTTTGTAAACCTAATTATTCACAAGCTTGTTTTAAAAGCAAAACTTATTTTATTGCAACCCTGGGAATTGTTTTCATTCCCAGCCGAAATTCATCTTAAACAGTTCCCCAAGATAAGCACACACCTTTCAGTTCTGTGGAATGCTGCCAAGAACAGAAGTATCCAATTATCTAGAAAAGAAACCAACCAAAGTACAAGAAAAAAACCAACCAAAGTACACAAAGCTTCAAGGAGGACTCGGAACTGATCAAACTACTTTGCTTCCTGCAAAGGTTTCGTCATCTTAGCCTGTCCTTCATCCCTTATGGGAGAGGCAATCACCTCCCAGCCTTACTCACAAGTCGGCCCTTTTGTTTCAGCTGCTCTCGCCTTCTAACAGCTCTGCGCATGCACGCACTGGGAACAGGCTCCCCTGGGTCCTCTGCCTCGCTGCTGCCAGGCTCCAAAGGCAGCACCCCACTCCCAGGTGGCCCTGGCCCCATCTCTGCATCAGACGCAGGGCCCTCGCCCGAGTCCTCCTCAGACTCCCTGACTGGTCCCCTTTCTTCCCCACTGTCCAGGAAGATAATTCTTTTACATATATATTGCAGTCCTTCGAGTCTGCAGAAGACATGCTGTCATGCACTTCATCTGTGGATATGGAGGTGGCTCTGCAGTCCTGCTGAAACTCCAGGATCTGGCCCAGTGGGGCACTGGAAGTCCTTTGTTTAGCAACTATAGGTGTTGTTCTGTGATGCCATTCACCATTTTCTATTAATTAGTGGAGGCTTCCTAGCACAGGGCTTGTCAGGGCTTCTGTCAACAAGCTGCAGTTTCTAGGTCCCATTGCTTCATATAGAGAGGCCTCTCCTTCAGTAGAAAAGTCCTGCACCCAGCCTGTTCAGCAAATAGCCCCCACCCACCCACCCCTTTGCAACCCCTCCAAAGTTCTACCCGAAACTTCATTCCAATCACAGGAGGAAAATCAAACGCTGGACTTAGCAATGAATTGAGGGTACCTGCTCTCCACTTGCAAAGATGATTGATTGATGTTGCTGACCAGGGAAGCCTATGTACAGTATGTTCCACCTACTGTCTTTATAAAACAGAGCCCAGGTTGAGTTGGGGGAGTTGGGTGGAGAGGAATATCTGTCTTATAGTATTGGAAACAAGCAAATAGGTGGAAGCTAGAAAAAGCATTGCTGAAAAATGCAACTGTTCCTGAAAATTAGCTTGAACTTTAGTTGTTTGCCTTTCTCTTCTCTTTCTTCGTTTACCATTCCCTTCCTTTCTTTCCATCCATCCACTTTTCTTCCTTCTGTTTTCTTTAGTTCTCTTCCCACTGGAGCTATCATTTTGCCTTGCTATCTCCATCCTATTTTCCACCCCTCTTTCTAGCCGTTTCTGCTGGAAAGAGTAAGTGTAGTGTGCATATTTGTTTTCTATGTGTGAGAAAGAACGGGTGGTACATGCAGATGGAAATATGCTAATTTAATAAAGGGAGTGCCTTATTTTACAGGTAATACACTTGGATCAATAGGCTTGCATTCAATTAATAAAAATATTTCTCTTCACCCTGCCCATTGTTAGGCTGTGGGTTCTGCCACTTACATATATCCAACATGTACATACAAGCCATTTATTGGAGCATATGAATATGCAGCATAAGTTTCATCTAACTATACTAAGATGTGTGTAAAAAAGCTGTCTAGATTATCAGAAACAGCGTATCACAACTATTATAAAATGGATGCAGTGCTACAATGCGCTTTGATTGACTTTTATCACCCTGGTAACTCAAATTCAAGAAGTTATTCTAAATACTACTTTATTTAATTGAAATCCTTAATAAATGATTTTGGAACCTTTAATACATATATAATAATTTTACAATGACTTAACACGTTTTAATACATTTGTGGGTTCCAAACTCTAACTAGAGGGCAACCTCACTTGCACTTAAGTTCTAATTCAACGTTAGCCACAGGAGAGACCAAAAGGGGAACCAAGGACATTTCCTGACAGAACAATGAACCAGTGGAACGGCTTTCTTCAACACTGGAGGGTTTTAAGAAGAGATTGGACAAGCATTGTCCATTGTTTCTTAAAAAACCCTTTTAAATAAATTTATTTTTTAAATTCTGAACATTTTAAATGTTTTGCCACTTTTAAATTTTTGATCTAAATGTTTTAATTTTAGGGGAATTTTTTAAAAACATTTTTTAACATTTTGAAAACTCTTTAATTTTTAAATGAACTAGCTGTGAAAAGAAAACATAGTCTTGGAAGAAGAATCTGATGTTGTTGTGATTTGCAAAATATGTTCCATTTATGTACTCATAACCTGAACTATACACGTACTAAATGTAAACTTAAATGAATTTCTTGAAGAAAAAGATCTATTCTAGCAGCAACTCCAACCACTCTAAACCTACAAAATGAGAAGCTCCAACCAAAGCAAGAAGACTGAACCCAAATAAGGAACAAACTGCTACCAGAAGAAATGAACCTGGACATGAACCTTTACAGACAAACCGATGGAAACGTGTCACTCACAGAAGAAAATGACGACCAAGAGCAAATTCCCTGCTGAACAGTGCAGCCCAATCCAGTGAAGCCCCACTAGAGCTGAGCAACTGATTTCACATCTTCCTCCTGGAAAAAAGCACGCAGACACCTGGAGCTGGAACATCATCAACTCTTCTGTTACAGGAAGAAAAGTAGTCCAGGCTTTCCAAGAAAAAATGGTGAGTGTTGGGGATAGGAGATTCACTTCTCAGGAGAACGGAATTGGCAGCCTTAAACCGGACAATCAATATAGGGAGGTTTGTTGTCTCCTTGGAGCAAATATGAAAGATGTTGCCGAGAGCCTTACTAAAATAATAAAGCCCACAAATTACTATCCCTTCTTTTTCATGTGGGAACAAATGACAATATCAAGAGACCATGAGCAGCTCAGCAAGAAAGGTGTAAGGACTTAGGAGCACTTTTTTTTGCTTCCAACAAAAGATCAACATCCAAGGATGGAACAAAGGACTCCAGAAATAAACTGAAGAGATGGTGCCACCAGGAGCAGTTTGGATCCCTAGACCAGTCTGCACGACATACATGAAGGGCTTCCGGGCAAGGGATGGGCTGCACCTCAAAAGAACTCAGCTATTAGCTCAGTTTATCCAGAGGGCTTTAATCTAAACCTAAGGGGGGAGGGTGACCAATCTCTAGGATTTTTAGCACCTCATCTGAGTTTAAACCTCAAGACAAAATCAAATAAGGTAGATGAGGAAGGGGATATAAAGCGAGAGATGTAGGAATTATACCCAGAATGAGCCATAATAAATAACTCATGCTTATACACTAACACTTTAGGTTTGGGGAACAAACAGGGTGAACTTAAAAGTAGTAGTATATAAGGGCAGGTATTGATAGTTACCATTACTGAAACTTGACGGGATGAAACTCATGACTGGAAAGGATATAAACTGTTCAAAAGAAACAAGCTTAACAAAAGAGGTGGAATTGCATTTTATGTAAAAAAAACCATTACAACTTTACAGAAATGCATAAAACTAATATAATGAAAAATTACTTAGTTTTATTAGCAGGGAACATTTCAAGATTGCTAATGTATCTAAAAAGAAGAACCAAAAAGCCACATTACCCTGTTGTTTGCATCAATCACAGTTTCACTTGAAAGCTCATTTACACTTTTAGATTGCCAAATACATAGGGACTTAGGATAATTCCAGAGTTTAAAATAAATTATAGTCTACAATCAAAGCTTATCATTCTTAGCATAAGACAAATATGGAAAAAAAAAACTTCTGCCTGTAAAAACTCTGACACCCCACCCCCCCCCCAGACCTCCGGGAGTGAAATGTTACTGTAACTGTCTTCAATAGCATTTTCTTTTGCATAAGGAGGGTGGTAATCAAACAGTATTTACTGATCATGCAAAGGCAAGGCCTCTTTTACAGGCAGCTCCGTTCTGCCGTTTTCGGCCAGATTCTTCAGGTGCAGCTGGCCGTCTCTTCCTCTGCTGATTCATCCTCTGTAAATAGACTTGATGGGAACGGTGTCATTCTATGACCGTCTTCTCTGCGTTTGGGGAAGGAGATGAATCAGCAATAGTAGCCAAATAAATAAGATTTCTGTGCAATGTGTGCTGGTGCCTGTAGGAAGAAAAACAAAGCAGCAATTGAATTTTCAGAACTGCTGTTCCGGTTTCTCAACAGTTGGCAAAGACTTCTGGGGTCTTCTCACTAAAGCAAGCTCATCTTGTATTCATAGGATTGCAGTTGATGTCTTACACTAAGCTGCTTATTTATACACCTAATCACCTCCCAATTCTAGGACGATGTAAGCCAGTCTAGGATTAATTACAGAGGTGGTATTCAGCAGGTTCTGACCAGTTGTGGAGAACCGGTAGCAGAAATTTTGATTAGTTCAGAGAACTGGCGGTAACTTTCTCCCTGGAGTGGGGAAGGAATGGAGATTTTGCATTATCCTTCCCCTACCACATCCACCAAGCCATGCCCACAGAACCAGTAGTAAAAAATTTT